CTTCTTTCACACGCTGAATTCTGTCTCACAGAGTGTACCACGGCCAGTCCAACCCTGGCCAGGCATTGGTATTTATTTCTACATCCTGCAGTGGCCAAGGCAAACAACTTACTCACTTGATTGTTATTCCAAAATGCATCTTGCACAAAGGAGACAGAGCTCAGCATTACAAATTTCCTGGAGTCTGCCTCATCAAGAATGACCCCTGATGCTCCCTGATCATATAAGTGCACCATCCACGAGAGCAAGGGTTCTCCTGGCCGTTGTTTAAATAACTCAGTGATGTCATTTACCTCTTGTTGTGTGTAATCCTCTAATGCACCTTTTCTCAGCAGGGGCCTGTTGTCATACAGTTCTGCCCTTCGCCTATACGCTGGTCTTACATCACGTGGCTCGCTTGAGGAGTCATCCTCATCAGAGTCTCCTAAGTACCAGACATCATCTTCATCCTCTTGTACCACAGCTGAGTGAACCTCTCTCCAAGTAACTTGCCCCCTCACATGATTACAGTGGGCAACTCTCACTTCAGTTTTACAGGGTGGCATCTGGGAAATACCCAGATTATCAGCTAGGAACTTATGCAGGCACCGTGATGTTGTGATCTGACTCTGTAAATCACTGAGCTGCTGGTCCATATGGGAGCACTGTGATACCAGTTGTTCTTTTAATTGTTGCTGTTTCTTATAGGGGTCAGCAATATCCATCCCTGTCTGACAATGTTCTCACCTTTTCGTATGATAATTTCTGGAGAATATCTAGTATACCATGAGGTTCAGCATCTCCTAACTGTTCCTCCCTTTGTTCATATGGTCCAACAAACTTGGCTTATCCATGTCTAACAAACGGTACAGAGGGTCTCTCCAATCGGGGTTTTCAGACGGGGCTGTCCATGACACCAACCTTCTTCTCCTGACTACTTGCCCAATATAGAATGATACTATCATTAACGGGCAGGCCAGCAGACAAACCCCTCCCTCCACTCCCACATCACGCACCAGAGATCCAAAGTGCCAGACAACCAGAGGGAGGAGCAAGTCAATGCACTCACACACAGAATACTGTGTGAAGAAGGGAGCGAGCTGACTCAGGAACCATGCCATGGGAGATGGAGCCAGCCAGGCAAGGAGTCCAACTATGTAGCAGTTCCCCAGAGAGAGACTCGTGATCTTGCTCTGCCATCCAGGGAACACCACTTACCATGAAGAGTCAGAGAACCCTTCCAATACCCACAATCCCCACACACCACATGCACTGTGCAGGCATGCCTCCTAACCCCACTGCAAGCAGGGTCACCTCTTATATAGGTGGCTTCTTGCCTCACCTCCAAGTTAATGTGGAAGGTGGGGGCACCTGGTGGTGATCTCCTAATCAGTTCCCACGCAAGGCTGGCCAGACCCTGGGTGAAAAGCAGTCAGGAGGGTCTTTCTTGCCTAGTTGTGGACATCATCCATATGCCAGCCCTGATGCAGGGCTGGGGGTTTGACCGCAGCACTTCAGTTCCTCACTATGCTAATACGGAAGAGGCTTTCAGAACGTGGAGGAAGAGATGTTACTACTCACCGATAATATTCCAGAACAGGTTTTGTCTGGGCATCATAAGCCTGCAGCCTCCTGGTAACCGTCTCTGGCTTATCATCATCACGCTGAACAAGTGGCTCTCCAGTAATGTCATCAATGCCCTAATCATGGTTAATAGCAAACACTGACGTTTCTGTATTTCTGTTTACATATGTTTTGTGGTATTTTCTATTTAAAGTACAACTAGTTTCCACTTAGTCAAGGTGTAGATTTCTACTTAGAAAGGCTACTGCCCATATCTTATCTGGAATATGATGTTGACTTTCGACTAAAGCAGTCCATTGGTTACAAGTATTTTCTCAGTATTGGCAACGAACATCAAGTCATAGTAAGCTGACTGATTTGTTCTCAGGAACATTCACTGAATCTGGGAAAGATGTAGACAAAATCTTCACAGATGAAGGAAAACTATATTGTTGGTAATAAATTACTGCATAACAGGAATCAAGCAAGAGACCAGCTAGGTCTTTGGCAATACTGCAATGGGGAAAGGAGTTAAAGGCCCTTTGATTTTAAGTCCAAAACAGAATCGTTATCATTTAGCAACAGTGTTAAGAAAAATGGTGTAAATGCTAGCTGCAGTTTTTCTAGGATTCAGTGAAGAGAGGCAGGGATCTAACGTGTGAATTACTACAGTTCCTACTTTACTGCACATTTCACCTTCAATTTAATGAAGTGCTTTAAGTGATTACACAGCTTTTAAGCCTTGAAAGTTCCTCAAAAAATTAAAGGTACCAATGTACAATAATTATCTTCAAGTTTACTGTTCCTTTTTAGAACATCTCAAGCCATAACATCTTTGATCTGTTGAGAAGCTTCCCTGAATGGCAAGTTTCTACATTGTTGTGGTTTGAGGCTTGGAATGGGGGCGTGACCTTCCAGCACCTGGGAGGACCCTGGGTGGGGGTGAACCATTGTATTCCCTCCCCTTCCCACACACACTCTGATAAGAGGCAGGCAGTGGGTGCTAACGGCGCTCCTGCCCTGCAGCTCCGAGGTGGAGGTTGTGCTTTCACTCTGTGGGACCTTGGAACTATTTCTGAGGGCTTTGTATATTTTGATTATTTTTGTATTTCCCGTAATCGTTGTATATATTTTTTTCTTACCTCCCTTTTTCGTTTTCTGTTCCTTGTTAAACAATATACTTCATATTTTTTTCAAAGTCTCTGTCTCTCTCTCTCTGAGGCGGGGGGGAAGGGGAATACACAGTTCTGTTCCGTGGGGGTCCTGCCTTGAACCCCTTTTTACAGGGAACCAGAACATACATTTAATTTTGCAATCCGACAACTGTTCCCTTGAAAATACCCATCCTGATTAAGCACAAACACAGGGAAAGCACTAAGTGGACTCCTCTGACTGATGATGTGGTGTGCTTCCTGGATACAAACAGCGAGTCCTCTGAAAGAAGGAAGAGGAAACTACATACAGGCTACAAACTTGCAGAGCAGGCTAAGAACATGCCCCACTCCTATGGCACTGTGCAAGACCAAGAGTATTTCAAATGAGTGAACAGCTTTTAACAAGACCTTACAAAACACCATGGTGTTATACTCCGCAGGGGACACTGTCCATCAGCTTGAGCTTCTACCAGGTCCCTAACATCCCTTCAGGGGCAGGATGTTATCTGAAAGGTTCAGTGCTCCTTAGAGATTAAATGAGTCTTTTTCTTCTGAGCTAGTGTGTTTCACACCACCATACACAAACAATACTTTACTGCAATTACCAAATGCAATGCAACATTTCCCCGGCGCCAACACTGACATGTATTGCTTACCTGCACTTTGGGAGGACTGAATTCAAGGTTGTAGACTCTGCCACTAGCAGGATGGATCCAGCGTGCTGTGAGACGACATTTTATGGTATCAAATGGCACATCTAGGTCAATCACAGTGTCTATTTGACATTCTCTATCCAGGGCTTCTGCCTGAGCAACCGTTCTGGGGAAACCTTTTTAAAAGGAAACAACTCCATAAAAATCCAAAGGGAGAGTTATAGCAAGAATTACCTGCATTCAGTCATTACAGAAAATACCTGTTATTATTTTTAAAAAAGCATCACCATACTGTAAAAGTTGAAGAGACATCAGACTTTCCACATCATTTTCAGTGCTGAAGAGACATCAGACTTTCCACATATTTTCCAGTGTGTCATGGCATTTTAACCTATTGAACGCCCCCCAGCTTGCATTTCCTCATTTCAGTTAACCATCTTCCCAAAAGTGTAACATAGAAATGCAAAAAGACCCCATACTCGTATGTACTACATACCACTACACTGAATAAATGCATTTTGAACAATAGAAGATACAGGCAGTTTACTCAGAGGTCTGAAACAACAGAGAAATCTTTGCGACAGCTCCTAGCCCCACAGTCGTTTAAGTCTGGCCTAAGAAAGTACAAATGTATTTTACTCAGTCGCAGTATGCCCAATTTATCTACCAGAGGCAGTCCAGGATTAATTTTACATAAATCAGTAGCTTTGGAAATAGTTCTGGAAAGTCTATTGTTACCCACAGGGATGAGAATGGTGAGAACACTCAGACTGAACAGGTATCAGTGTCTGCACTTAAAAGACTGCATTTTGCCCCATGAACTCTATGGCTCCAGTAGCATGCCTCCAAAGGCACGTGCTGCTCCAAGAGAAGCCCAGTGGAACTAGACGGAGCAGGGTGAGGGAAACAGAGAATAAGAAAGACGAGGTCTGCACAAAGAATTCAAAATCTGATCACAAGAACTTTAGCAGTAAAAGCTACTGTCGAACATACTATTGCATCATAGATTCACTGGAGTAACACCTCTACACACAAAGCTCTTGCAGAGTCTCATGTTCTTCAGTAGCTCGCAATTTTCACCATACTATACAAGTACACTTCTCCATAAAGGCACATACTAATAGGTACAAACTTAAGAAAAACTTCTCTGCATAACATTATTTGATGAGTCCATTGCCTGAGTAAGGAACCAGAGAAGAACTGGCCTTACAACAGAAAAAGAAAATATTCTATGGTCTTGAGGCGACTGTCTCTTATCTAACACATCACAAAAGGAAAGTTTATTAACTCTGACAAAGCTCGTGCTTGTGCATTACGCCTGATGCACGTGGTTTGTATCACAGTCATCGTGGTTTGTATCACAGTCATCAACTGCCCCCATCTTATTTCTCTCACAGGCACATCACCTCATAAAAGTGCTTCTAAATGTTAAGAACAGAGGGAGTGCTACGACTCCAGCACTGCTATTCCTTCTTCCTATTGACAAGCTAGCCAGCTACCACACACCTTAGTTATGCAGCTGGAAAATGAGTTTGCATTGGGACTAAGTAATGAGGAGCTTCTTCAACAAGCTCAAGTGCCTTTAAAGGGTTTCATTGAAACTGAATCAGTGTTTGCTGCATACGGTGTTTTCTCAAAACATAATCAACAAGATGTGGTGAATTATGAAGAATCCAGGAACACAGAGAAAAGTGCCCTACCTACACAGCACACAAATCTACGCAGATCACAGCTCCCCCACACCACTCAGACTGCTACCTCTGCTATGACTCTAGAAGGCATCAACCTCCTGTAAGGCAGTGGACATGGGTATTTGGCCAAGTGAGCACACAAATAGAGCAGCAGCTCCATTTATTCTGACCTAGATGACCTCAGCTGTTTTCTTCCGAGTTGCAGCAATCGGACTAAAGACTTTCTGCTTAACATATTTAAAGAGAACTGTATTGTTCCTCCAGAGCCAATTATGCCAGAGCTACCCCCAGTGTAATTTATTGAGTCTCATTACAAATGCTGATGCAGACAAAAGTTCTGCTTCAAAAGTTTAAAGAAGGCAGCAGAAATTAATTTATTCTCTTACAGTATCCACATCCCTCTCCTGTTAAAGTTGCCAGTGGTCCCAGCTATACTGCTACACATCCAGATCCACAATGCTGGAAGTGCGTGCATGCAGGACCCTGAACTCTAGAGAAAAATATTCTGCAGCTCTTTCCTTTATTGATTTGGTTTCATTATGCTTTTTGCTGCAGGAATTAAGCCTTTGTCTTCACTAAGGGGTAAAGTAACTGCAACTAAAGCCACCAGAACAGATCACTGTAGTAGAAACAATTACAATAAAGCACTAATGGACAGAAAGCACTGTGGGTTTTTCACTCCCTCTAAATAAAAAGCCACACCAACAACTTCCTGGTTTTATCTGCTGAGAGAGGTTGTGACTAGAGTCCAAGAACACACACATCCAGCCCAGGCACTGTCTCTGTGATGTGCATCCAATTGTACTCCCATGAGCTAGGTTGACCAGAGCCTTTCAGCTCACGAGGACAGTGGCACATCCATTTTCTCTCCACTGTGAATGCTGAATCAATGAGCTTATGCTGCAAAACTGCAGAACAACTCACTTTAGAGAACAGAACCAAAGAGTAAGTGAAAGAAACCTTTCAGAGCACTTAGGCAATGTTTTTGCAAGTGATTTATTATACACAGTGCACTGCCACAGTAGTTGATTTCTGTACTTAACCTTGTTGCTGCACCCCATACTTACCTTTCTGTTTAATTAATTCCTTAGCCCCATTCTTCAAATGTGTTCTAGCCCCAATGACTTTAACAAGAAAAGTCTTTAAAAAAAAGAAACTTCTCAGTGCAAGTGGAAATAAAGGGTAAGAACTACCAGAACTGCCAGTTTTGACATTTGACTGAACTACCCTTTTCAACGTGAATTAAACAGCCCCCAGATTCACCCAAAGCATTTTACAGCCAAAGAAACTGGGACTGACTAGCTGCTGAAGGTTTCACAACAAGCTGGCAACAAATACTGTCCAGCTACTGTGACTCACAAATGACAGAAGCACTCCAAGCTTTCCAGCACAGATTTTCTCTCCTTACATAGTGATATCCAACATGCTAACTTACCATCCAACAGCCAGTTGTACCGGTTGAGACTTTTTAGCTCATCCAGCATCAGTCGTGTTATGATGTCATCTGGAATAAGGTGCCCTTGATCAATGTAGGACTTCGCAAGGATTCCCACTTCTGCGAAAGTAAGAGAAGTTGCATTTCACTATCTCTGACCTTCAGCAAGCAGAAAAAAGCCTGCAAGCCTGCAAAAAAAAATTTGTTTTATCACGATGCTGCAGAAGAGTAAAGCTGTAAACAAGACAGACAGTATGCTTGCTGAAATTCAAAACCAGATGATCAGTTATGAGCTGACCATGCAAATGTGTATCATATTAATTAGGTGGGTCTGTAGTTCCACAGCTGACAATAGGGAAGCATATCTCTACCTCCAAGCCCCAGTAAATAATTTTACTAGTAAATATTTGAAATACCAGGTTCCAAAAAAACAAAACCAGGGGAGGCCATTAGATAAAAGTCTTCAAAAGAATAAATGTAAAGGATAAAAGTTCATTAAGGTATCAGCCCTCAGATTTCCTATCAAGAAAGTTATTTTCTCAGTTTAGTAGCCAGATACTAACCTAGAACTTCACTAGGGAGAGAAACACCTTTGGTATTTAAAGGAGCAGTATGCAGTGGGAGACACTTAGCAGACACATATGATGACTACTAGAGTTACAAGAGGATGTTTATAGATACTGTAAACTATTTATTGGAGCGTGCACACACTAGTAATTTCCTATAGAACTGGCTAACCTTTAATACCAGTTATGTAGCCCTCTGGCTTGCTAAAATGCCATCCAGGCATCACAGTTCCAGGTATCACACCATGCTTCTACATGGCAGGCAGTGGCATGCTGTAGTTCGCCCAAATCATGGGTATAGCTGGGAAGAAATTTGCCTGGGTCGTGTCCCAGCCACAATGTCTCCATGGCCCTTGTTTATAAAACAATTACCCAATCATGTGTCACGCAAAATAGCAGCTAGATGGTGGATCTGCAGAAACCTTTACTTCCAGCCCATTCAGAAGTTACAGAAAGCTAAACAGAGAGAAAATGGGACAGACTGACATACCAACACAAGATACATCCACTTTCAGCAGAAAGCCACGAAGAATGCCACTCCCATCCTTTGATGCAGCACTGGAACGTGCAATAGTACAGAGGCCACTCTTCAGACAAGGCAATTGAAAAGCAATACATGCCCTAAAGTAAAGCAAACAGTAGCTTTGGAACTGAAATGAAAATAAGGAATAAGGGGACAACTTGCCCTTATTGGGTGTTCACACCTGTAGTCAGGCTCTGAAGACCATTTAGAAATAGGCACTATGCACCTTAGCCAAACTTCAAATAATCCTCATCACATGCAAAAGAGTCAGACTCTGGTGCTTGAGTCCTCCAACACATCACAAACTGGAACGAAGGTGACAGTCTGCCTGTGTACAAAGTGTCTATTCTTCTCCCTGCCTCCCTTTTTGAGGTCAGCGAGTCATACCTCTTTTATTTTCTAGTGCACTTTGAACTATGTACCCTAGTGAAGCAGGCTGAGAGGAGGAATAAATTACACCCGGATAGTTTAAGGTGTACTTGATGCTTTAATCTGTTATTGACTTAAGCTGCTCCATTGCTCCAGCCACAATGATCCAAGAATAGGTGCAAGACAAGGTTGACAGAGAAAGGTACTAACACATTTTGGAAAGATAGATGAGCTTTTGGGCCCTGAGAGGTTTAGAGTACAGCAAACTGTAAGGTCCTACTATTAGACCAACAGAGCTGGAGACATGCTGCCTCTTTGCGTAAACCTCAGGTTGTTTGGAAAGTCACTATTACAGAAGACAGAAATAGGCGCAATTGTGCCCAAATAGTTGTATGTCAGTTTGTATACTAGGACCACAGCTTGGGGTGGTTTGTTTATTTGTTTTGTCTGTTTGTTGGTTTGTTTTTTTTTTCCCTGTTGCTGGTTTTGGGATTCCATGAGGTTTTATTTGTTCTGTTTTGGTTTTTTTTTTTCGGCTTGGGTCTGAAACCATTACAGGCATGCCAATCTTTGGATGTGAAGGCAACACAGGTTTCTTTCTTGTCTAGGTGGTAACAGGTACCTGTGTGTTGTTGTTTTGAAAAAAAATGGCTTGTCCTAACCACATTACAGCAAACAAGCTCTAGTGATATTCTGACAAGGGGTTACTTAGCACTAGAGATGTGGTCACAGAGCCCACTCTCCAAAGCAGCTTCTGCGTGGTAATAACTGCAAACTGCTAAGGACGCTGACACGTTCAACAGGACTTTTCAACAAACAACGTCCATTTCCACAAGAAAGCAAATGCCAGAAGTGGCACGGTATAACTACTGTCTACTATATTTAATTTTCTGATTGTTTTAACTGTCCAGCTCAACCTAGCACCTTTCCCAAAGAGCTGGGAATGGAAAGACTTTTATGATCAAAACTGAAAAAGTCTTTGCCTCAACAAAACTTGTCAAAGCTCTCCAAGCTGCCTGTCAGTCCCTCTCCCTCCTTCAGTGTGCTACTTACTTCTGCTTGCCTCAGTATTCATCTCAATCCTTTGGAGACCACTCCTGCAAGGAGTGTCTCACTTTCAATAAAATTGAAACAGAGCTTCCTCTGGGTTAATTAGTGAATGAAAAACTGTACCAGATTCCTCTAAGTTCTACACCAGCTAATTCGGAGCAAACTTCATCTCTTACACCCCTCCCCTGGCTTCTCTCCTCACATTCAGGTTTTTAACATGTCTGCTACACTTTCATTTCACATCTTTGTTCTCCTTCACATTCCTTCATCTCTTCAACCCACCTAGAACACTTTGCTGAATCATTTTTCTTTCCACTGCTTCATGGATCCCTCCTCAAATCAAGCTATGGGGTATTCTGACCTTCAATTTCCCCTTCTCACACACACAGCTTGATTCTGGTGCTCTTCGATCTTGCTTCCAAAACATACTGAAAGAGCACCAAACCTGAAGTATTTAGTAAATAACATATTTCCTTTATTTTCTGGAATGCCCTCCTTTCCCACTACATCTTGCTTAAGCTAAAAGTTCATAACAGTAACAATTTTGGGATTGTGACCCTCTGTAAAATAAAAACATAGGCTTCTGCAACCAAGCAGACAGAGAAAGCACGAACGTGACCGTATATGCCAGCAAAGGTGGTGCTCCTAGGAAATGTTTAACTTGCAGATACCAACTGCAGCAAAGCCAGTCAACTAAGCCAAAGTCATTGTTCCTACAGAGCAAACAGAATTTGTGTGAAGAGAGATGTGGAAATCACATCACAAATTATTTCATAATACAGATATTTTTTCACCTACAAACATGGTTATAAGCTTCCAAAACCAAGACTGCCTGTATTGCAGTGATACTGAGAAGTTAATGTAGTCCTCTGCAGCTTCAAAGGTGTTGGAATAACATTACTCTCACTTCATCACATGCAAACTTAATTGGCCCTTACAAGATTTTTGACCCCACCACGAAGAAAAGCAGATGTGGAAGTCAGGAGGAGACCCTTCATCGTGGCAAAAATCTACCAGAGACACAGGTTGTGGCAGCTCAACAAGAGAGCCAGAGATCAAGCTGGGACAACATATATTTGCATTTATACAATTCACAGCATTACCTAATATAAGCAGGTCTGTATGCAAACACAGCTGAAACATAAGCAAGATATGAACTTGCTGTAAGATAATAACAATACAGAGCACAGGGTAAGCAGTTCAAAAATTTTGCCCATTGTTTTTGTAAAGCACCACTACAGTCACGCTTGCCAGTTTGGGGCAAGGCCTTCTAATGTTGGAATAGCTGGTAATTCTAGGTGCCTCTGCTTCTGCCCATCTTAATGGAGATCAAAAAAGTTTGACCGCCCAGAACTTCTCCTCTTGTCCCGCCTGTTAAAAATATGCATGTTTTTCCTTTTCACTATTTCAGATGGAAGGCTATCAGAAAGGCCTACCAAAACCGCTGGGTGCTTATGACAAGCACCAAGGCAAGAACTGGCAAATTTGGTGCTACAAATCAAGGAAACCGGGACAAAGCCCAAACCGGGGTTTGTGACAAGGAGGATGCCGAGTGACAGCTTCCAGAGGATCCTCGGCTGAAACCCTGAGGCCCACTTCGGCGGCGGGAGAGCTGCGCGAGGGGGGGGCACACGGAGGTGGGACCGGGGAGCAGTAAACACCTTCAAGAAGCGCCCAGGGCCTTCCCGGGCGGGGAGCAGCGGGAGACCGGGGAAGGGGCAGGAGCAGGGACAGAGGAAGGGCCGGGGCCGTTCCGCCCCGGACTGTGTCACGCAGCAGCTTCCT